TCAATCAATCAATCAATCAATCAATCAATCAATCAATCAATCAATCAATCAATCAATCAATCAATCAATCAATTTCCTCTTGTCCTTTAATTTAAGGAGGTATTTGACCATTAGGAGCTCAGTAAAAATCTTATATTGAACCATCGACTTAATGGGGTACTGGTGTAAAGAGGACATAATCCATGTTCTTTTAGAGGAGCTGGTGAGAAGCCTCACAGTTGCTTTCTGGGCCATTTATGAATGATCCAAAGATGGTTTGCTCAGCCAAAGGAATCACAAACAACATTAAACAAGATGTGAAATAAATGCTATCATCATTTTTATTTCGAATTGAGACGCAATATATTTTAGAGGGGAAAATCTGAATAAGACAGCCAAGATACTCATCAAAACTGAATTCCTAATCCAAAGTACAAAGAGATTTCTTACATTTGCGAGACCTTTTTTCAGACCTTCGTTTTATCAATAGATAAAAATAACTAGCAAAGGAAACTCAAAAAGAAAGAATCACATTTTCTGCTCTTTTCAAAATAGTTTTTTACTTCTACATTAAACTAGGTGGAAAAGAAAAATCAAGCTGTAAAAAGAGTTGAGCTGCTTCAGGGAATGACTTAAATATACACCAGGGTCCCAGATTAATTCTGCAGCATGACAGCAAGCCCAAACAAATGACCAGAGACGGAAACAACTATCTATAGTGACAAGGAGAAAACAGAGTCATTACAGTCAGAGTCCTGATCGCTTATCATGGAGTCAGTCAGGGACTATCCCCAGGACTGTTGCACATTCTAAGATATGCGTGGAACAACTTATCTTACAATTGGCTTGAAAACAGAGGATTATAAATTTTAAATGTTTCAGATCGTCAAACAAATTTTAATATTAGTCAAAGGTAAAAACAAGATGCAGAGAAAAAAAAAGGTGTCCACATCTACCTGCTCATGTGTGATAAAGTAATTGCCCCCTCAACCTAATAACTGGTTGTGCCACCCTCGGCAACAGGAACTACAATCACATGTGTGCAGAATTGTTTTAATTCAGCCACACTGGAGGGGTTTCAAGCATGCACAGCCTGTTTAAGGTCATGCTAAAGAATTTCAGTCAGACTTTGTCCAAACTTTGACTTGGTCACTTCAAATATTTCTTTTTTTTTTTTGAGTCACTCAAACCTGGGCTTGCTGATTATTGTCCTGCCATGTAACTTAAGTGTGCTTAAATTTCAGGGCCTGCTCTGATGACCGGACATTCAGGATTTTCTGGTAGAGAGCAGAATTCATGGTTCCATCAATTTATTGTTCAGGTCCCGAAGCAGCAAAGCAGCCCCAGTCCCTCACACTACCGTCGCTGTGTTTAACTGTTTGACTGATGCTCTTTTTATGAAATACTGTGTGTTTCACACCAAGTATAACAGGACTCAACCCATACAAATATTTTCCCAAAAGTCTTGGGGATCATCAAGATGTTTTTTGGCAAATATGAGATGAGCCTTTGTGTTCTCTTTGGTGGTTTTCATGTTTTCTTGATTTAATGTGTTTGTTAGCAGGGGAAAATACTCATTCCACACAGGGCCGGGCAGGTTTCTCCGTTAACAAATGAAATCATTGTTTTATAACTGCTTTGTGTATTTACTGAGGTTATCTTTATCTAATACTGAATAAGTTTTTAATGATCTGACACATGTAGAAAAGAAAGGAAGTGGGCAAATACCTTTCCGTAGCACAGAATGAGCAGAAATACTTGGTCACAGACCTGAAAGGTCAGCTATAAAAACTATGGGAGTGAGGTTAAAGAGTTTGCATGTTTAAAGGTTCCAAATGTTGAGCTGACACATGGTAGTTTAAAAGAAAAGTTTATGACAAGTGCAAAGATGTAAAATATCTTAATTTATGCCACTCGTCTCTGCTGCAGTTGAGCAACATTTTACAGGCGTTCTCCTTGACTTAACAATAAATCCTGCCATCAGTGCAGGACGTGACAACTTGTCCTGAGGCCGTGAATAAACCACAAAGAAATCAGAGACTCCCTGGCTCTGCCTGGCATGTCTTTTGCAAGAACGGGTACACCAAGTTCAAGATAAGCATCATGAATGTCATTTTGCACTCTAAAACATCCTGACATGCAACAGGTTTGTGATGGTATGTTCATCAGATACTGGTCCATGAAATGAGTGTTTGAGGACACCTATTTCAGTTATGTCTTGTGATATAAGGAATTTAGTAACACTTCAGTACACACTTCATGTGCTTATAAATTTACCTTTCACTTCAATAAAGTACACTTTGTTTTCACCACTGTCGACATGTTCTTCTTAAGCAAGTGACAAAAAGAAAAACTCAAAGTAAAATCCAGACAAAAAAATAAAATTTGAACGCACCAACCGAAAGCAGGAACCCCCACTGTAGATTTGCATATCTCCGCATGCTTACATTTGTGTTTTTCAAAAGCAGCAATCAGCAAACATTAAGTACTCTCTGATAACACGCTGACACAAAGAGGTCTCCAAGTAGAATTTAACGTTCCTCTGCGAGCATTTCCCCTAATAACCGCCAGATGGCGCAAATGCTCTGTCTAAAATCTCGACAAAACATGAGTTTCAAACATTTGCTGGAAATCCATTGCAGGAAAAGCGTGAAATAGGGCAATGTTGCCCAAAAATATTCTTTTAGTGATCACAGTTTTTCTACCAGTTCCATTTTTGTTTAGGCTGCTACCTCCTAGCTTTTTTAAAAAAAAACAAACAAACCCCAAAAAACCTATTATTTTAGTCAAAGCTGTTAATTATTTACTTTATCGTTCTCATTAGACCACCTCCTGGAGTAAAACAGAAAATATGCACAGGGAAGGCAGATGGTTATTCAATAAATATCAGATAAATAAATAAATACATAAAATAAAATAAAATACATGGCTTCAGAGTTAAACAGCTACTCCTGGTTATATGCATATACTGTATACAAAATGTACAGTCAGGGGTTACTCCCAGGATGAGCATCACTGTAAAGAAGGTGTTGCATAGTTTTCCACAATATTCCCCGTTTGCTGCTGTTCAGTGTGCTTGTATCCATGTTTTGATTAGAGTGCTTTAAACAGGGACACAATCTGCTCATCACCAAAGTCCCATTTGTCCTTGGATCTGTTGCATTTTGCTTAAACATAACCGTCTTTACATGTATTTTCCCTGTTAAATAAATATTATTGCAGAAAAAAATTTGATGAATTTGTTCTCAAACTGCAGGCTTACTTGTGGTTTGTAGGGTATTTAAAAGTAGAATGGGAGGCAGAGCCTTCAGCTTTCAGATCCCTCTTCTGTGGAACCAGCTCCCAGTTTGGATTCAGGAGGCAGATAGCACTGCTTT